AGCTGGGCATGGTGGCCTGCGCCTGTAGTTCCAACTGCTTGGGAGGCTGAGGCAGGGGAATTGTTTGAACCTGGGAGGCAGAGGTTGTAGTGAGCCGAGACTGTACCACTGCACTCCAGCCTGGGCAACAGAGGGAGACTATATCACAAAAAAAAAAAGTTACTCATGACTGGCATGGAACCTACTGCTCACCTTAAGCTTTTTCATTTATTTAATTTTTAAAGACAGAGTCTTGCACTGCTGCCCGGGCTGGAGTGCAGTGGCGTGATCTTGGCTCACTGCAACCTCCACCTCGCGGGTTTAAGCAATTCTCTGCCTCAACCTCTCGAGTAGCTGGGATTTGGGCATGTGCCACCATGCCTGGCTAATTTTTTGTATTTTTAATAGGGACGGGGTTTCACCATGTTGGCCAGGCTGGTCTTGAACTCCTGACCTCGTGATCCACCTGCCTCAGCCTCCCAAAGTGCTGGGATTACAGGGGTGAGCCACCGGGCCTGGCATCTTAAGCCTCTTCAAGGCCTCAACAGCGTCTAAGAATAACTAGCGGGTCACTAGTGACGCTGCTGGTTACAAATGGCATCAAATTTCCTCAATGCCCAAGGCCGTCACCCCATGCCCGGATTCTCAGAGGAAGACTGAGAACCAGTTGTATCTGCCAAGAGGAAAAAGCAATGATGTGAATGAAATGTCAGTATCTCTCTCCTTTTTGGCCAATTTGGCATCTAAGTCATTAAAGAAAATGGAGGGACTGACGGGGCAACAGAGCCCAGCAGGAAGAGGCTGGTGGGAGGAGTTCTTTAGTGAGGAAAACAGACTCCTGGGCCAGCAGCTCGATGTTCAGATGGGCGAGGCCACTCTAGTGCAGGGCACCTGATCGCCATGGTAACCGAGCACAGAGCACAGAGCCAGCGGCCCCCATGTCGCGGCTGTAAGCCCGCTTCCCTTCCTGCAGGGCTGTGGCTGGCTGAGCAAGTTGTCCATAGTACCTGCCTACCTGGGAGGGGCATCCAACCGCCAGTCCACCTTCGAGGCCTGGAATCTCAAGCACTGATCGTTTCTCACCAAGATTCAGGAAGAAGCCAAGCTAGGCTTGCAGTGACCTTCCTGCAGAAACCTGCTTCTACCACAGGGAGCTGCTCAAGGCAGGGAACGGAGGGAGCTACCACCAAGGGCGGAGCAGCTTCTGGGCTGGGGGCCCCTTGAAAGGATTCCGAGGTAGCCATGGGAGGAACAGGGCATCGGAATCTTGTAGCAATCTTAGGACAGAGGCTCGCTCCCCTGCTGAAAGCTTCCACAGAGACACTGTCAAGGAAGATTCTAGAGAATCTCATTGTCCCTCGTCCCAAGGATTTACTAACAACCACTATTAGAAAGCAGCTCTAGTTTTCTAAATTAAATTCCATATACTGGGCCAGGCACAGTGGCCCACGCCTGGAATCCCAGCACTTTGGGAGGCTAAGGCAGGCGGATCACCTGAGGTCAGGAGTTCGAGACCAGCCTGGCCAAGATGGTGAAACTCCATCTCTGCTAAAAATACAAAAACTAGCTGGGTGTGGTAGTGCATGCAGGTAATCCCAGCTACTTGGGAGGCTGAGGTGGGAGAACTGCTTGAACCCAGGAGGTGAAGGTTGCAGTGAGCTGAGATTGTGCCACTGTACTCTAGCCTGGGTGACAGAGTGAGACTCTATCACACACACACACACGCACATCTATATACCGCAAATATAGATTTTTTTTTTTTGAGACAGGGTCTCCCTCTGTCACCCAGCGTGGAGCGCAGTGGTGTGATCCTGGCTTATTCCAGCCTCGACCTTCTGGGCTCAAGCAATCTTCCTGCCTCAGTCCCCCAAGAAGCGGGAACTACAGGTGTGTGCCACCACGCTTGGCTAATTTTTGCATTTTTTGTAGAGACAGGGTTTCACCATGTTGCCCAGGCTGGTCTCAAACTCCTAAGCTCAGGCGATCTGTCTGCCTTGGCTTCCCAAAGTGCTGGGATTATAGGCATGAGCCACTGTGTGAAACTCTCTTGAAAAGTAACCTCCGATAGTACAGGTTCAGACGAGGAAAGCCATATGATAATCTCTTTTCTTTCTGGCAAGGCCTTCCTTCCAGAGAAACATTTTTGCTTAGCCATCATTATGTGATACAATTTAAAAAATTTTTCCTGGTTGGCCATGGTGGCTCACACCTGTAATCCTAGCACTTTGGGAGGCTGAGGTGGGCAGATCACCTGAGGTCAGGAGTTCGAGACCAGCCTGGCCAACATGGTGAAAACCTGTCTCTACTAAAACTGCCAGGTGTGGTGGCACGCACCTGGAGTCCCAGCTACTTGGGAGGCTGAGGCAGGAGAACTGCTTGAACCCGGGAGGCAGAGGTTGCAGTGTGCTGAGATCACGCCACCACACTCCAGCCTGGGTGACAGAGCAAGACTCTGTTTCAAAAACACAAAAATTGGGCCGGGCGCAGTGGCTCATGCCTGTAATCCCAGCACTTTGGGAGGTGGAGGCGGGTGAATCATGAGGTCAAGAGATTGAGACCATCCTTGCCATGATGAAACCCCGTCTCGACTAAAAATACAAAAATTAGCCGGGTGTGGTGGCATGCGCCTGTAGTCCCAGCTACTCGGGAGGCTGAGGCGGAAGAATCGCTTGAATCCGGGAGGCGGAGGTTGCAGTGAACCGAGATTGCACCACTGCACTCCAGCCTGGTGACAGAGCAGGACTGGAAAAAAAAAAATTTTCCTGCAATATTGGAAATATTTTTACATTTTTCTCCCTAGTCACCATGATTTTTGCTTCTGCTGGTGGCTTTCCTGACTTCAAGGTGTTGGGTAGGTGATCTGTGCTCAACCTCCCCTCTCTAGCTGGAATGACACGGGGCAGAGCAGACAGACCCAGGTGCTACCTCTTCACAAAAACCACTGACAACTTCTACACCCTTTTCAGTTTTATCCAGGGGCTCATTGCCTTTTTCTCTCTCCCGCTTCCAATCTGCAAGATTCCCTAGGAGTCTTAACCGACTTTATTCTACAAAGAAAATTGATATTTTACAAATACCATTTGCATTCCTCTTAGGAGTCAAGCGTGTTTTTCTTAGGTTTGAAATGTGACTTGTACAAGTGTTTCAGCACGGTGGCGACTATCTGCTACAATACAAGGTAAAATGTCCTTCTTCAAAGGTTTGTTACGTCACGGAGAAGCTTCTTCGGGCACTGTCAGCAGGCCTGGCACTGAGGGAGACTTCCTGTTTTATGTAGGAACAAGGGTTTTTTTTTTTTTTTTTTGAGATGGAGTCTTGTTCTGTCACCCAGGCTGGCGTGCAGTGGTTTGATCTCAGTTCACTGCAACCTCCACCTCCTGGGTTCAAGTGATTCTCCTGCCTCAGTCTCCTGAGTAGCTGGGATTATAGGTGTCTGCCAACACACTGGCTACTTTTTTTGTATTTTTAGTAGACACGGGGTTTCACCATGTTGGCCAGGCTTGTCTTGAACTTCTGACCTCAGGTGATCCATCCACCTCAGCCTCTGAAAATGCTGGGATTACAGGCGTGAGCCACTGTACCTGGCTTAACGAGAGGTTTTGATCTGGAAAATGTTAGTCACTCTCTGCCAAGTTCAGTCCTGCCTCAATGGACTCAAATACTCTCATGAGTTTAAAGAAGGCCAACTTCCTGTTGGAGCAGGGGGTCAAGGCTAACTCTCCATGCAGATGTCCGTATAACTCCAGCATGGACAGTTATGCCCATTATGCTCCCTGAAGTATTCTGAACTCAAGCAAGTGCTGGATGAGCTCTTGGTACTTCCTAATTAGACTGGCAAAGCCAGAATGAGTGATCCCTTCTCCTGATGGACCTCCACTCTACCTAGAGGTCCAGCCATGAAGACCCACGGAGCGGGCAGGACACAACGTCCTGACCTCCGTGTTGATCAGAATCAAATCAGAACACAGACAACAAACAGAACTCTCAACTGGGGACTGAGGTGCCACCGAGGCACTCCGGCTGCATCTGTGTACCGGTTTGGGGATCTTGCCGAGGCAGCAGCCGCTGCCACCCAGCTGTTCCCCGCGCTACACATGTTCCCCGCGTGAAGCTTGTGGCAAGCTGGCGGGCTTCGTGCTCCTGTTAGCTTTGTTTGTGTTTTCAATGAATCAATGGGATATGGAGACGAATCAACATGTTTAGAAAAATACAGAAAGGGAAAAAGAGGACCAACTCACAGTGCAGGCTGTTTCTAAAAGCCAGGCTTTTAGAAAAGCTCGGCTGCAAGTGTGGGCTTGGCGCACTTGGGGGAGGCGGGGGCACGCAGGAGGGAGCCTGGGAGCCGTGGCCTCGGGTCAGCCTTGGTGGGCTGTGTCCAGGCACTGCGTGGCAAAGAGAACAAGTCTGGCCAGAGACCTCGGGGCTGTGGAATGCAGACAGGAAGCAGCCGAGCTTCTCAGCCTGCAGCTATCACCCTCCGCTGCCGCCACCTGCTCCCACGCTCTGACCTCAGTCCCCAGCTCTCCATCCGTTCACACCTGAGCTGTCTTCATGGGCCTCCCGGCCATTTCCTTTCTGCTACCCTACCCTTCCCACTGCACAAGCTCCAAGCTCCCCGTTTGCCTGTTCGGGGGCTGCCTGGATGTCTTCCGGATAGACAAGAAGTCCCCCGACATGACCCCGCCAGGAGGGTGACGTGTGCCCGTGTTTTGTCCCTTCCATCACACGGTAAGCCCACCGACTGCGGAATCTGTCTCTTAGACCCCAGTGCTGAACACAAGGCTCTGAGCGGATGAAGGATGACACTGGGCGTGGGAACCTTAGCAGCGTCCCTCCACGCACCGTAGGCTCGCTCTTCATTAGACACTGACACGGACAGGGACCCTGTTTGCAGATAGGAGGCCATATTTCAGCTCCCCAAATCCAGAACGCGGGAGCCTCCAGGAGACAGATCGGAGGACGGGACAACAGAAAAGGCAGTGAGACATTTCATGCAAAAGCAATAGAAATCGGCTGGTTACCTGAGCTGACACAGCCCTGCTGCAGGGGGTCCTGGAGCGACGTCACGGAGTGGAGTACTAGAGTGGAAAAAGGTTGCAATTAAAGGAAGGAAGGAAGTCCAGGGCTTCGAGCTTCCTAACTGAAGGTGACAAGGCCTGGGGGAAGCTTCCCGCTCCTCCTGGGAGGGGCGGGCTCGGGACCGCAGGGCGGGGAGGCGCTGCTTCTGCGAGGCCAGGCCCCCGGGCTGGGAGCGGGTGAAAGCATTCGCCGCCTTAGTACCTTTGGCTGACTTTCTTTCCTGACTCCCTCCCTGATTTAGCTACTTGACTTTTACCTGTATTTATGTATAAACAGCATTTTTTAAATTGGTATCTCATTTTCTGCTGCTTATAAAATTAGACAGGCACGATCTTCTCTCCTCAACACTGTAGTCAGGCCCATGGCGACAGACTGTGGAGGAAGGGAACGGTTCTGTCCCCCAGAATCAGTAAACAGCGGGGGGTGTGTGGCGGTTCTGCCCCCCAGCATCAGTAAACAGTGGGGGGTTTGGTGGTTCTGTTCACCAGCATCAGCAAACAGTATGCGGGGGGTGGCGGTTCTGTCCCCCAGCATCAGTAAACAGTGTGTGGGGGGTGGCGGTTCTGTCCCCCAGCATCAGTAAACAGCAGGGGGTGTGGCGGTTCTGTCCCCCATTATCAGTAAACAGTGGGGGGGTGGCGGTTCTGTCCCCCAGTATCAGTAAATAGTGGGGGGGGTGGCGGGCCACCTCTCGGGGCAGAGCTCCCTCCTCCCTCTCTGCATAGCCCAGGTCTTTGCTACAGTGGGGCGGCCCCCCTCCGTGGCAGGAACCCAGTTACCTGGCCCTTGCTGCTGGCCCTGGACAGGTAGAACACCCTGGCCCAGCTCGCCATTCAGCCAGAGCTGCATCCGGATGAAGGGTTCTCGGCCTTTCTGCGTCAACTTGCTCCACGGCTTCGGTCGGGACAACATGTCACTGACGCTGCCCTGGGACAGGCCCAGCACCTGGAGTGGCGGCAAACACACATGGCCATCAGTGGCTGGGTATCAGCACGACGCCACGGATGCTGCTGCAATGCGCACGCAACATGCAGACGGCGTGTCTAGGGCTGACTTCTGAGCACAGAACCACAGCCTGGTGGCAGCTTGTGGGCGGGGAAGAAGTGTTTAAATGTCAGCGATGGGCTGAGGCCCCAGCACAGGGGGACTTTTGGGGGAGCCATGGTTATAGCCACAGCTCTTAGCTCTCAGGGAGGGCAGAGCTTCTCCTCCCAGGGTCTTGATCCTGCCAAGACTGCAGGCTGTCATCCTGACACCCTGTGGAGGAGGTGTGTACAAGCACCTTGCTCTTTGCCTGGTGGCACCGAGGAAGGCCAAGGTGCCAGGACAGGACCCTCCAGAGGTGGGGCAGTGGGTGCCAGTGGGATGGGGGGACCTGGTGTCCTCTGCAAACGCTGAGCCAGGCCACCATTTTGAAAGGTTTGCTTGCTCTGACCACATCCTGATCAAAGGTGGGGGCCCAGAGGGGAATGGGTGGGACCCAGGGAGCCGGCCTGGGAGTGACATCCCGCCACAGATGATGGCCGAGTTGCATGTACGCAGCCGAGTTTCCTGACGCTCCCAGATGGCCATACATATGTATAGCCACAAACACCCCCCACAGGACACAGATGCAGCCCTGGGATATTTAGGGGCTGCATCCGATCACTCTTTTGAAAAGTTCTCAAGTTCCAGAATAAAACTGCACTCATGGGCCAACCAAGTTCAATGTTATTAAGTCTCTGCTAAATTTAAGGCATGAGCACGAATGTCTATTTCAATGTTCTCAGATGGTATTTTTGTAACACTGAACTAGAAATCTCAAGGGGCTTGAAATACTGATCCTCATTTCTAGTCCCCCCCCTTCACCTTTTGCAAAATCAGGGCAAAGCTGGCCCCTGGACATCACCCAGATTCACGGCACAGCACACAACAAACACTGAGTGGAAGGCGGGGCGGGGAGTGCGGGATGGTGCTGTGGAGGGACCCTGGCTATGGGGAGGAGGGGGGACTGTCCCCTACTGATTCAGCCACGTGCCCCCTCAGAAAGGTGCCTTTTAGGGGAGGGGTGCTTCTCATTCCATTCAGCACCCCATTATTTAATCTAAAATGATAGGGGGCTGGGAGGCCAAGGCGGGCAGATAACTTGAAGTCAGGAGTTCGAGACCAGCCTGGCCAACATGGTGAAACCCTATCTCTCTCTACTAAAAATACAAAAATTAGCTGGGCGTGGTGGCGGGCACTTGTAATCCAACTACTTAGGAGGCTGAGGCAGGAGAATCGCTTAAATCCTTGGGGAGGCGAAGGGGAGGCTGCGTGAGTTGGGATTGCATCGCTACACTCTAGCCTGGACAACAGAGCGAGACTCTGTCTCAAAAATTAAATAAATAAAATGATACTGGGGCACGATGCTTGCTTTAGATTTGGCAGGTACAGTTAACCCTCATCCACCCGAATCTCAATGACCAGGAAAGTGCCAAGAACAGAAAGGCCTGGAAGCTTGTCCGTGCATAACAACACCTTCCCGGGCCAGGGAAGGATGATGGGGAAACATGGGCCACCCTGCGGGGGCCATCCCTGAGCTGTGTGTCCCTGGGCTGATCGCTTGACTTCTCTGGCTGAACAATATCCAAGAGTCACACAAGAAAGGAACAATCACGCTCTCTGCAGCTTTTTCTTGTAAGTCCCTTTTGGCTCTCTGCGTGCCGGTCGTCCTTCTATGTGGTGATCGGATGAGATCTTTTTTGGCCAAAGCAGCCCGCAGGGGTGTCTCTCGGCTCCCCTTGGCAGCAAGAGCTGGATGTGGACTCGGCTGTCAGCCAGGTTGGGGCAAGTAGTCGACTTCCCCAAGCCTTGGTGTCCCTCCCTGTCAAACGGAGACTTTAATCATCCACCTCCCAGCATAACTGAGAGGCCGAGCCCAGAACCCGGCCGCTGTCGGGGCTCAGCAAACGGGATCAGGGGCTGGAATGTTTACCAGCCCTACCCTGGGAAGTCTGGGAGCGGAGGATTCCTTATGCTCCGCTCTTGGGTGAGTCGAAATGGGTGATGGCCACGGGCTCTGGGATAGACACTTGGTCCTCAGCAAGGAGAGGAGATGGGAGAACCAAAGCCCCCGCTCAGACCCCTTACCTTCTCCCCGAAGATTCTCTGGCAGATGCCATTCTTGGCCAGTTTCTCCTTAACCTGCCGGGTGAGCTCGATGGTGTCCACCTCCTGGTACATGTAGACCTCGTACTGCTCGGGGGTCAGCGGGGGGACCGAGGGCTTGGTGGGCTTGGACATGGGCACGAGCGGGGAGGATGGCAGGGGGCTGTTCTGTGGTGTCTCGCTGCGGCTGGCCCCAGTCAGACTCAGCTCTGAGCTCTGGGAGTACGGGGACTCGGCGCTGGGCCACTCCTTCCAGTACTCTGACGACGTGGGTCCCTGGAGCTGGCTGCGCTCCGCCCGAGGCTGGCTGCTGCCGCCGCTGCCACCGCCGCCCTTGTCTTTCCCGCTGCCCACTTCTTCGGCCTTGGCCTCCTCGGAGGAGGCAGTGGCGTTTCTTCTCTCCGGCTGCACCTGCACCGTGCTCCACCAGTGATCTTTCCACGCGCCGCTGCGGCCCACCTCGTTTTTCACCTGTCTCAGGACCCCTTGTGCACAATCGGCCACTCCCTGGGGGTCCAGCCCGGGGGTGTCCTGGGCCTCCTTTTTGAGGGCCGGGGGGTTTGGCAGAGCAGAGGCACCCGCCTCTGGAGCTGCGGGGGGCTTCTTCAGGGAGATGGCGAGAGGCGGGTAGGTGGATACGGTCGGCATGGGCGAGGTGGACAGAAGCTTGGGGGTGAGGATGGTGATGTCACTCTGGGACAGCGACGCCTGCTTTAAGGCGGGGTCGAGGGCGGCCTGCTGGGCCTCCATCTCCCGGCGGGCTTGCTGCAGGATGGAGCGGATGGCGTCATCGGAGTTCCCGCTGCCGGACGCGGAGGAAGGCTGGGCCGGCTCTGCTGCATGGAGAAATGGGGTGAGACTGTGGCGGGGTGGCCCCCTTCAGCTGGGGACACGCTTCTCACCCTAGCTTGACCTACTGCAAAGTGTGGTTATTTGGGAGAACCACACTGTGTATCTCCCCAGCACGTCCCCGTCAGTGATAACATTCAGGCATCTCGTTTGAACCAAGGACCAGGCTCTGAGGCTATTGCTCGATGACCTGGTGGCCCGTGGTACACACCAGTGTAGACGGCAATAAAGGGGATGTCAGTGAAAATGCCCTCCTGGACCTCCTTTCCCTGATAATTTTTTTTTTTGAGACGAAGCCTCACTTTGTCGCCAGGCTGGAGTGCAGTGGCGCGATCTCAGCTCACCACAACCTCCACCTCCCGGGTTCAAGAGATTCTCTTGCCTCAGCCTCCTGAGTAGCTGGGACTACAGATGTGCGCCACCATGTCCAGCTAATTTTTATATTTTTAGTAGAGATGAGGTTTCACCATGTTGGTCAGGATGGTCTTGATTTCTTGACCTTGTGATCCGCCTACCTTGGCTTCCCAGAGTGCTGGGATTACAGGTGTGAACCACCGTGCCTGGGCTGAGAATTTTTTTTTTTAAAGAGACAGGATCTCGCTCCGTTGCCCAGGCTGGAGTGCAGTGACATGATCATGGCTCACTGTAGCCTCCACCTCCCTGGCTCAAGCAATCCTCCCAGCTCAGACTCCCAAGTAGCTTGGACCACAGGTGTGTGCCACTGTGTCTGGCTAGTGGTTTAAGAGACAAGGTCTCACTATGCTGCACAAGTTGGTCTTAAACTCCTGAACTCAAGCCATCCTCCCCCATTGGCCTCCCAAAATGCTGGGATTACAGGTGTGAGCCACCACACCCGGCCCCTGATAATTTTTATGCTTAGTATTCATTTTCCTGTGCTATATTCTGAAACGTGAGCGGTTTTGTCAAAACTGTGAATAACCGCAACAAGGGACCAGGTACAGCAGCTCATGCCTGTTATCCCAGCGCCTTGGGAAGCTGAGGTGGGCAGATCACTGGAGGACAGGAGCTTGAGACGACCCTGGTCAACATGATGAAACCCCGTCTCTACTAAAAACACAAAAACTAGCTGGGCACGGTGGCATGTGCCCACAGTCCCAGCTACTCGGGAGGGTGAGGCAGGAGAACTGCTTGAACCTGGGAGGCAGAGGTTGCAGTGAGCTGAGATTGCGCCACTGCGTTCCGGCCTGGGCAACAGAGTGAGACTGCATCTCAAATAAAAAAAAAAAAAAAGCTAACTATTAGGCAAATGCGGATCACACAGACCTGCTTCTCTCTATGCGCCTAAACGCTTGAAAACAGGCGTTCATTATTGTTTAAAAAAACAGCTAATTACCGCTGACCAGAGCACTCATGACAATTCTCCTAATTAAGTTTGGAAGACAGTGGGTGAAGAAATGGAAGCTGTACCAGTTTTCTGCACTTGGAGCTCCCGCTTGGCTTGCTCTAGGATGGACTTGATGGCTTCGTCGGAGCCAGTCTCGGAGGCTCGGATCCGGGTGGTGATGTTACCTGCGGGGAGAAGTCGCACCAATGACATCAAACCCAGACCTCGGAGGGAAGTCAGCACTGCGCGATGACATCATTCCGATAAACAGCCCCACCGCGTGGAGGCCGGTGACACAAGGAGGCAGATGTGGCCTCCCAGTGGCCTGTGTTTGCTGTGAGTGTGACTTCACAGCGACACCGGGCAGGAGGGGCTTCCTGCTCAGTTGACCTTACGGTCAAAGGTTACTCTGCCAGAGCCGGACACCACCCGTGGGTTAGTCCCCGGGAGGACCGATCGTTTGATCCATATATATATATAAGGTGAGTGATTAAAAGGGAATGTTTTTCCGGTCACTTAGGAGCAACTGCTGTGACTTGGGACTGACTATCCTCGGGGTGGGATGTTTACTGGAGGCTGGCGTCCCACACGGGATCAACGGGAAAGGAGGGCAGAGGGTTTGAGGCTGATTCTCTATCAATCGTTCAGATGCACAGGGTGAAAAAAGACAGGCTAAACTTAAAAAATCGTTTGCATCTATGATCACGTTATTATGTCTTTGTAAAATTTGCAAAGAGGATAGGAACCTGCGGAAATTCCTGAGCGGTGAGGGTGGATTCTTTCGCCAGGTGGTGACGTTTGGTGCAGGCACACTTGCAGACGAGATAAAGTGACGGTGGCCCAAGGGCCGGCCCAGCTCTTTCTGGAAGCCGCCCGGATAGTTTAATTTCTCACTGCCTTCCTAAATAGGAACCGCTGCATTCAAAACAAGCATACCACCGTTTAAAAACAAGTCTGCCACCGGGACGCTGTGGGATGCGTCCGTTCTGTGGGACCTCGAGTGTGCTTCCGAGTTAAAAATACAAGGGAGCAGTAGTATTTAATGTGATGGGGTCACCTGCCTTTTCTCAGAGCAACTGCCGTTATCTTTTCACCTGCATCTGAGAAATAGCGGACCGGGTAATTAGGATCTGGAGTGGGCTGGGATTCAGATTGGGGGGCTTAGCTTGGTGGATGCCTCTTCTTACCCCTGCCCGCGCTTGGGAGAAGGCAGGCGGCTCGGGAGGAAGGGGCTGGGTGTGGTTGAACCCGTGCCTTGTTTTATACTTACTAGCTGTTTTTCCATCAGGTTCCAGGCCAGAATCACACGGCATGGTTTTAACCCAAATGCACAGCTAAGGACATGCTGCTTCCCTAGGTAACTGACTGCAAAGAAAACACCTGCCTGCGACATACCTTCAGACCCATTTCTTCGTTTCGGTACTTCCTGAAATAGTCTGTTCAGGCTCTGGCCTGGATTCTCTGTTGAAAAACAAGTGTGGTAAGAACAAAACAATCAGGGGAATGGTGGTGTTGACGATATGGGCTGTGTGACATGAAATCTGAGCCGCCTGGCGCTAAAGAAAGGGCTCAGGGTTGCCTGTGCAACTCGGGAGTTTCTAGAATCTTCTGAGAGGCCCTTCCCTGGCTGACCGGCCCACAGAGGCCGTGGGTCTGCTGCAAAAGGAGATTGGGGAAACCTCAGGAGTGACCTGCGGTGCCAGGGCCAGGGAGGTCCAAGGGATGGGGGGACTGCCTTGAAGGAGGATCACCCGCCAGCCCCCAGAACAAAGCTCACATTAACCATCCAGAGACATTCGATTTCAGTTAACATCCTCATAAAACACTGCATGTTCTCAGTGCAAACTGGTGGTGTTCGAAACCTTTCCCTGCTCCTCTTGAGTCTAAATTTCAGGGTGTTTCAAATACGTCTGATGAAATGCCCTCTCTATAGCTCTGCTGACATGGCACATTGATCACCTGGTCTTAAGTAAGAAAGGAACTTTTTATTTAAATTTGAGGCAGGCTCTCATTCTGTTGCCCAGGCTGAAGTGCAGGGGCTCCGTCATGGCTCACTGCAGCCTCCACCACCTGCGCTCAAGCCATCCTCCCGCCTTAGCCACTCAAGTAGCTAGGACCACAGGTACACGCTACCAAGCCTGGCTAATCTTTTGATTTTTGTGTAGATCAAAAGAACACAAAATCTATGTTGCCCAGGCTGGTCTTGAACTTCTGGACCCAAGGCTGGTCTTGAACTCCTGGATCCACCCACCTCAGCCTCCTAAACTGCTGGGATTACAGGTGTGAGCCACCACACCCGGCTGGGATTTTCGAAATTATAAATGTGACTGACATTTTATCTTTTTAAGGAGGGTGGGGTAGGAAGGGTATTTGAATAAAACTTTGGTATATTTTACTCAAGCCGAGCCTGTCTTGCTCATAAGCTACACAAATCACCTAATGGACTGTGAATGATGCAGGGAAAGTGACCAGGGGACACGCCCTCTTCTGCGTGATAGGAAGAGGGGAGGTGTCTGTGATGTGCTCTCCCCACAGAAGCAGCTCTGCATGAGGATCCAGCCCAGTCAACATTGCTGCTATGGGGCTGCAGGGTCCCAAGGGCTCCTCCCAGAAGTGAGACCAGCCCCCAAGGCTAATTGGACCCATGGCCGCTGAGCGTACCGAGACACTATGCGCCACGTAGCACAATTCCCTCCCATACGATCAATGGTATGGAAGTACTGGGTTTCCTAAGTGCGGAGTGCTGAGTGCGTTTCAGAGGCCAGATCTCCCAAATCTAACAGCCTAACTCATGCCGGGCCACCCCTGAGCTCTGAATTTGGCAGAAGTAGAGAGAGCTTTACCTGATGTGATGCACAAATGTTTCATCACACACACACAGACACACACACACACGCATGCACACAGACGCGTGCAACTCCGTGACGGGCTCACATGCTGGCGCCACCCAATGCCAGTCTCTCACCTCTTTGTCTGCCTTGGATGCTACGGAGGGCCAGGATGTTCTGCTCATCGGAGAGGAACTGTTTCATCTTGTGAAATGGCTCCTTGCCACGAACAGTCAGTTTATTCCATGGCTTAGGCCGGGCCAGAATCTCACTCACGGACCCTTGAGACAGTCCCAAGACGTAGTGTCCGAAAATCCGTTGTCCGATATTGTGCTTAATCAGCTGCTCTTTGACCTGCCGGGCGATTTCTGCAGTGTCCATGTCCTCGCCCTCGGAGACGCTCCCAGCACTTTCTGACTGGCTGGGGGATGGGGCCATGCCATTGACATCTGGGCTTTGTTGCAATGGGCTTTGGGAAGATATGGAGTTTGTGCTGTATGGACCTGTTGAAAAAATCATGCTTGTGCTTCCGGCTTCCTGCATAGCCTTGGAGTAGAAGGACTGCATTAGCTGTCGCTGGAGAAGAGAGTTTAGTGCAAATTTTCCTGTAGAAGCCAGGGGTAGGCTGGGGCTTGCCAGGGATGAGCTGAAAAAGTCTTGACTTAACCCCGCTGGTGAGAACTGGTGTGTACCATTAGTATTGGAAGCCTGCTCCCCCGGGTTGCGGGGCAACTGAGAAGGAGGGGGGGCCGGCAAAGATCCCGGGCGCCGACTTTCAGGCTGGTCTTTACCTTTTCTCCTGGCTGACCCTACAAGGAAGGGCAAACAGAATGCATTATGGGGGATTCCAAAGGGGGAAACAAAAACCAAGACCAAAATGCAAAAGTTTGCCCCCGCAGAAGGGAAAACAAAAAAAAGGAGTGCAAGTTTTTTACAAGGGCCAATGAGGTGGGTTGGTTTGTTTTCCGATTCAATTTGTAAGTCAGCCAAACGAGGCTTCCCAAAACAAGCAACATGCATTCATGTTTGCGCCTTTCTTGTACGTTGCAGCCTGGAGAGTCCCCTTGACATAGATTCAAACTCCTAGCGTGACAAGGAGCCGGTGACACACACAGGGAAGAGTTGACGGGTCGCAGGCCTCTTACTGGGCCCGCTGGCCCCGGCCGGAGAAGCAGCAAACACTGACATTTTAGGACCAATGGATCCGCTCGCACCTCTTGCACTGAGGCGGATGCACCGCACCGAGCCCCCTCGATTTGGAGGCGCACGCCCGTTTTGAGAATGTAATACCATCGGAGCCCCAGACACCTGTACGCGTTTTACCAGCTGCCCAGACCAGAAGCACAGTCAGTGACGCCACCGTTTGTGGGAGGAGCCAAGAAAGGCTAAGGATGGGGAACGCATCCCCAGGGGAAACCTGACCAAGGAAGAAAAACCTCTACTGGACCCCCGCAGGCCGGGGCCGTCCCTGGAAACACCACCAGAGCGAGGCTGGGTTCACAGTGCCCCTGGCCCCTGTGCAGCACAACTAGACACAGATCAGAAAAGCCGACGCCCTCCAAGTTGTCCCTCCTGGGGCCTCCAGCCCCACTGCCCCTAACTGACCTCCGCAGAGCCTCTGCGGCTGGCCCGACTCGGCATCCAGCTGTAAGCAGGGCGGGGAAGGGAAGGGAGGAGCGGTGAGGAGGAGGGTACCCAACACGCGTTAGCCAAAGGTTCTCGTCACCTGGCGCTTTTCTGGCCGTGCATCTGCCCAGACTCACGATTCACCTTTCTCTTCCTCGAACGACCCCTGGAAGTGAACCAAGCACCGCGCACGCGCGAGGCCCGGCCAACCTACCGCTCAGGTCGCTGTTGGAGATGCGCAGCGCGGCGTTCTCGGACTGCAGCGATCGGTTCTTCTCCAGCAACAGCACCTCCAGGGGCTTGGCCGCGTCCTAGACGGGGCAGAGCGGCGGGGAGGGCTCACTGCAGGGCCGACCACCAGGCCCCGGGCCCCACCTCCCTCCGTCTGTCCGAGGTCCCACCCAGCTCTCGATCTCACTCCCAAGTGGGCTACAGACAGCTGATTTCCCCCTAGGACGTTTAACATACGTGAAGAACAAGTTCCCTTTAGAAAGAATGGATTCTAGTGGAAGTCATTTTTCTTCTTACACTTGCATGGGTTCTGAACAATTAATTATTCTCTCATCTGTTCCTAAACTCCAGTGACCTGAACCGCCTCATTCCGCCATAGGACTGACTGCCAAGCCACAAAGCCCTGTTCAAAAGTAACTGTAAAGGGAACTTTTCTTTTTTTTTTTGCCAGCCACAAAGATGTTGGCTGTCTTCTGGCATCAGGAGTCAGATTCCACTTATGATGTCGATTTTATTTTTTTGAGATGGAGTCTTGCTCTGTCACCCAGGCTAGAGTGCAGTGGCATGATCTTGGCTCACTGTAACCTCCCACCTCCTGGGTTCAACCGATTCTCCTGCCTCAGCCTCCTGAGTAGTTGGGACAACAGGCGAGTGCCAGCAATGACCAGCTGATTTTTAATATTTTTGGTAGACACAGGGTTTTACCACGTTGGCCAGGCTGGTCTCGAACTCCTGACCTCAAGTGATTCGCCCACATCAGCCTCCCAAAGTGTGGAGATTACAGGTGTGAGCCACCGCATTTGGCCTGGGATGTCAATTTTAATCAGCCACCAGATGACTATGGGCTCCTGTCATTCTGCTCCTGAGCCTTCTCTACTGAGGTTCCTAAACCAATCCACTTTTGGCTGCTCTTTAATGCAATTAAAAAAAAAATAGAGACTCACTCTGTTGCCCAGGTTGGAATAACGCAGTGGTGCAACTGTAGTTCACTATAGCCTTGAACTATGGGGCTCAAGTGACCTTCCTGCCTCAGCCTCCCAAGTAGCTGGGACCACAGGCGTATGCCATGGTACTTGGCTATTTTCTTCTTTTTTATAGAGACGTGGTCTTGCTATATTGCCCAGGCTGGTCTGGAACTCTTGGCCTCAAAGCAATCCTCCTGCCTGGGCCTCCCAAATTGCTGGGATTATGGGCATGAGCTACTGAGCCTGTAGTTCTTAAACACAATCTGAAATTGTTTTTTATTTACGTTCTTAGAACCTGCTCACGTGAAATCACAATTTCACTTCGGTTACCAGTCTGGAAAACGCTAGCTTTTCTCTTTTCTCCTCTTTTTGCTTAAAGATGATTTGCTTTTTGGCAGTACCCATCTCCTATCAGCCAGGGACAAAGTGATTCCTTGTTCATCCCCAGCTTGGCTTCTGATCTGTGCCCATGCCTGGTCCATGCCTTGGACACATGGAAAAAAAACGAGAGGAAAAAATATAATTTGCTTTAACTTGGTTAAATGTTCCTGAAGTATGACTCACTGGCTGTAAGGGGGAGGCTTCATACAAGCAGTGAGATAGTGGGGCAGGCCAGGGGGACCAGCAGTGACCAGCAGCCGGACCACTGGTACTGACCATTGAATAAGACGCATACCTGTGTCCCAGCGCCCTCGGATGGTGCAAACTCCATGGACTTCAGAATGCTGCAAGAGCATGACAGAGCGGTTATTTTATTTTCTTCTGAGAGTCTCACTCTGTCACCCAGGCTGGAGTGCAGAGGCACGATCTTGGCTCACTGCAACCTCCACCTCCCAGGTTCAAGCCATTCTCCTGCCTCAGCCTCCCCAGTAGCTGGGATTGCAGGCATGTGCCATCATACCCAGCTGATTTTTATATTTTTGGTAGAGACAGAGTTTCATCATGTTGGCCAGGCTGGTCTCCAACTCCTGACCTCGAGTGATCTACCCACCTCGGCCTCCCAGAGTTCTGGGATTACAGGCGTGAGCCACCGCACCCGGCCCAGAGAGGTTATTTTCCACTTATACTTTTGACAACAGCCACATTAATAGGCATTAACATTACAATTTCCTGCTCTCCAGGAACCGAGGAACTGTCAACTTTATCAACTTCCCTGGCAGTAACAGAATCTGATAATGTTTCTGGAGTAACTATTCAACTAGCAGTTGGCTGGAAAAGTTTCTTGCCTAGCATGTAAATCATCCCATATGGAATCACACCAGGTCTGTTCAGAGTATAATTTTAAAGTTTAATAGAGACATAACATTGTTGCAAGAGGAATCTATTTGTAAAACTTAAACGGAAGGAAAAAGTTGTAAGGAGAAGCCAGAGAGAGAGGAACCCACCAGGGAGGCCACTGCCCACACCTCACTCCTAACTGGCACCCAGCTGGGGACCAGGGGACATAGGCAAAGAGCAACATCCTAGACTGGGATGGCTCAGAAGCGAGGTGGGCAGACCCCCTCTGCAGTCCCAGGTTGGGGAAGGAGCGTGATAACAAACGTGTGGCAAGAGAGGGTGACTTCTCCCTGCCTCGTTCTCACTGGCACTGAAAAGGCCCATGCCCTGATCCTACATGAGTACCGGTCCCCAGGATTATTACTGTATTTTGAGTTCCTTTTGCTGCGGATGTCCCTTTTTTGCTGAGTTTACCAGGGAGAAGAGGGGAAGCGAGGCTACGTGCCTTCCCAGGAGTTGTGTTTCTTTGAAACACCAAGCATGGAAGAGTGAGGCCCAGACCAGGCTGGCTGCACCGTGAAATCTACAGCTTGCAGGTACCGAGTCAACCAGACCTTCACAGTGTCCCTGCAGCCACGATTTGGCCTCTGTCCCCCTGGTGTGTGCCACCACACCCGGATAATTTTTGCTTTTTTCTTTTTGAGATGGAGTCTCACTCTATCACCAGGCTGGAGTGCAGTGGCGCGATCTCAGTTCACTGTAACCTCCGATTCCCAGGTTCAAGTGATTCTCCTGCCTCAGCCTCCCGAGTAGCTGGGATTACAGGCATGCACCAACATGCCCAGCTAATTTTTATATTTTTAGTAGAGACGGGGTTTCACCACGTTGGCCAAGATGGTCTCAATCTCTTGACCTTGTGATCCACCCGCCTTGGCGTCCCAAAGTACTGGGATTATAGGTGTGAGCCACCGCACCTCACCCAATTTTTCCATTTTTAGTAGAGACGGGGTTTCACCATGTTGGCCAAGCTGGTCTCGAACTCCTGACCTTAGGTGATCCGCTGGCCTCGGCCTCCTAAAGTGCTGGGATTACAGGTGTGAGCCACTGTGCCGGGCCAAAAGGGGTTTCATAAGATGGATTCCTGTCCTTTGTTTCCTATTTTCTTTAGGATTATGTAATAAAAGACCACGTGTCTTTTCTTCTACACATTTTTACCAGCAACCGGTTATCTGCTTGTCACCGTGGAGAATGAGAACCACTCCTGGTCCACACTCCAGGAAATTTACAGGCCATTACAGGTAATCGGCAAGACTCCAAGTGGTCCATTAAGAGACAGAACTTGTGGGGACCCCAGCAGGAGGGATTTTGTTTGGTTGGAGACCACGTCTCAGCGTCATGATGAACAAGCATTTGAGAATGGGCCCTGAAGGGACGCAGCGTCTTATGCTGCAGCGCATGAGGTCAGCAGAACCTGTCGCATGGGGAAAGTGAAAATGGGATGATGATGGGAAGGGGCCGTCTGCAAGAGCTCAAGAGCGCACCTGGTTCACTGGGAAGTGAGTGGGAAGCTAGGAGCACATTTGGGCAAAGAAGCCGCCTGAGTGGGACTTCCAGGCCTGTCCTGTGCAGATGCAAAAGGAAGGGTCAGCAGGAATGCCGTGACAAGCGGGGCTGACGAGGCAGCCTGTAGTGGGGTAGGGGCAGCCTGAGGCCCAGCGGGGGATGGATGGCAGGGAGTAGACAGGTATGTGTTGTGGGCTGGAGCCAGAAGCCTTAGCTCCCAGGGAATTCGGTGAACTTGGAGGAGGAGGAGGAAGAGGAAGAGGGAGAGGAGGAATACCAAGTCTCAGGCAGGGCGACGCTGGGACAGGCCTTCGCTGCAGAGTTTCTCTGACTCAAAATTACAAGACCCAATTTCCTTTCCTTTTTTTGGAAGAGGGAAAAAGAGGGAAAGGAAGGAAAGATCGGGACAGGACTGGCAGGTAGAGAAGGTTAGCTGGGTAATGTCCAATAATAAGTTACAGAGGCTGGAACTGAGAGGGGTGTAGGGGTCCATCCCAGGAGGTGCCGGCAGAGGCTTTGCAGCTGGAGAGGCGAGAGGACCGCTCGAGGGGAGAGCACGGTGGGGACAGGGACTATGGGGGCCAGCAGATGCCAGGGAGGCTAGCGGTCCCAGGGGAGAGAAGGCGGATGGTCACAGAAGTGAGATGGTTCAAGAGGACACCCGAGGAGCTTTTCTTAGCGGAATGGAATTGACAAGACAAAGAAAACATGGTGAGTGGGTGTGGGCTCATCTTAAAAGGAGAAATGGAAAATAGCAGCGACAGCGGGGCTGGTGGGACAGCAGAGGGGGGCAGGAAGGAAGGGATCCAAGGTCTAGAGCGGTGGTGGGGGGGGCAGTCTGCAGAGATGGGAGGTGGTACCCAAGACCAGGGGTGGGGTTCCAGCAGGGGCGAAGTGAAGGGAGCCCGTCCCTGGCAGAGAGGGCTAGGGTGTCTGCGGTTAGAGGTTGGGGTAACAGTGATGAGGACAGGGATGAACCCCTGAGGAAGCCCCAGAATAGCAGAGCACCAGCAGGGAGAAGCACAGGGGGGCCCGTGGGGCCGGTCACCACACCCTAGGCAACCTTCGTTTGCAGTGTTTAATAATCTAGGAGTGAAGTGAGGATGCTGGCTGGGGGGCTTGGAATGGCTGCCGGTCCAGGGGGAGCTGTGTGCACACAGAGGGTCTGATCACAGGCTCCAGGCTGGCTAGGGAGGTCAGGGAGCCTGGAGCATGATGGATGTGGGGGGACAGGTAAGGACCAGGGCCTGGGAGCTCCAGAGTGGCAAAGCGGACTCAGGGTGAGGAGGCAGTCGCGGGGCTGGTGGCCGAGTAGGGAATTTTGAAGGCTGAGAACTGAGCATGCCATCATAGCCCTGAAAAGATGACAAGCTTTCAGCTACAGCCTCACAGCTGGAGAACAGAGACTGGAAGATGGAGTTTCCGAGTCCAGGAGGCCAGGGCAGCGTGAGGCCATGCACCCACCTTCAACCCGGAAACCGTTCCCTCCTGCTGTTGGGTGGGGCATTGACAGTTGCAGAGCAAGGCCTTATTTGATCGTTTCTGTAAAGGCGCTATGCCCGATTCCCTGCATTCTGGAATTCTTGAACTGCACAGCTTTTAGAAAAAGTCCAAAGAATTCAGGGACAGGCCTGAGTGCAAATGTCCACAGCATTGGGTAGCCCAGGACACTGTGGAATGGCGGAGCTCTGGCTGAATTTACGGGCATCCGCTGGGCCAGAGGGCAGGGGGCCAAGGCTGCCTGTCACCAGCCTGGCATTGTTAGCAGATGGCCCTAATGTGCCCCAGCGTGTGAGGGGCCACAGGGGTCTCTGTACTTACTTCAGCTCTTTCTTCACCTCTTCATAGTCAGCCTGGCCTTTGAGTTTTTCTTCCAGTTGCTGAAAACAGAGAAGAACTTGATCAGTGTCCATGCCTGACAACAGGATGACGGCCCTCACCGACGGCATTCACCGAACAGCCAGCCGTGCCTGCGAGGGGAAGCCAGTCCTTGCGAATGGCAGTCGACAGTGCTGGGGACATCTTTTGTCCTTCACGCTCCTGGCCTGCCCAGTGTCACGCATGCCCAGGTACAGCAATGTGTGTAAGGCTGTAATGTACAACTTAGCCAAACAGAATGAAGGCTGGGTGTGGTTGCCTCAGCCCAGGAGTTTGAAATCAGCCTGCGCAACATGGTGAGGCCCCATCTCTACAAAAAATAAAAAAATTAGCCATGTCGGTACATGCCTGTAGTCCCAGCTACTTGGAAGGCTGAGGTGGGAGGATCGCTTGAGCCCAGGAGTTGGAGGCTGCAGTGAGCTATGATTGTGTCGCTGCACTCCAGCCTGGGTGACAGAGTGAGAGGTGGAGACCCTGCCTCTAAAAAAAAAAAGTACCCTCCACCCCTAAAGAAAAAAAAAAAACAGAAGGAACAGTCTTTGCAGAGGTGAAAACCAGAGGAGGAAAGGTCCACTTCGTAGGAAGCACCATGAAACAGCAAACAGGAGGAGGAGAGGCTTTCCTGGTGTCCGAAGAGAGCGTGTGGTTTTAAACAAAATATGTTAGGCTGAGGGACTCATCCGGCTGGTTGTCAACACCTTTGGAGGGACCCTCGCTAACGGGAGACACAGCCCTTTTGTGTTGAGAGTAGGCATCGAATAGGCATCAGGGCAAAAGCTTTTGCACCCCTGAACCCCAGGATGCTGGGTTTTAGGACCAGCGGCCTGTTCAGCTGGGTGCTTGGTGATTTCCCTGACAGCCAGCTGGTCTTGGTCCTGCGGGGAAGACCCCGCCCAAGAGATGCTGGTCCCTCTCAGGGGCCCAGGAGAGTGATAGCACATTTCCAAAGTACAGCGATGCTCCAGTGGGTTCCAGAAAGGTCTGTGAGCGCACTGGGGATTGATGTGGCTCTTTTTTTTTTTTTTTTTTTGTGGAGATGGACCCTCACTCTGTCGCCCAGGCGGGAGTGCATTAGTGTGATCTTAGCTTGGCTCACTGCAACCTCCACCTCCCAAGTTCAAGCAATTCTCCTGCCTCAGCTTCCCCAGTAGCAGGGATTACAGGCACACAGCACCACTCCTGGCTAATTTTTTTTTTTGCATTTTCAGTAGAGATAGGGTTTCACCATGTTGGCCAGGATGGCCTCAGGTGATCTGCCTGCCTCAGCCTCCCAAAGTGCTCTTTTTTTTTTTAAAGAGAAAGGGTGTTGCTCTGTCACCCAGGCTGGAGTGCAGTGGTGCGATCATAGCTCACTGCAGCCTCCAACTCCTGGGCTCAAGCGATCCTCCTGCCCTAGCCTCTTGAGTAGCTGGGACTATAGATGCACATCACCATGCCTGGATACTCTTTATTTTTATTTTTTAGAGATGGGGTCTTCCTATGTAGCCCAGGCTGGTCTCAGACTCCTGAGCTCACGTGATTCCCCCACTTCAGCTTCCCCAAGTGTTAGAATTACAGGCATGAGCCACCATGCCCAGCTGTAGGTGCCCATTCAGGTTCTGCTTGACAGGCCATGGCTAAGACCACTGTTTACAGTCAACTGAGAACATTCTAGACTTTGGGGAAAAGATGGCACCATACAAATCCCAACTGTCTGCTGTTTAAAAATTAATCACTAATTAATTATTAGTGATTAACTAATTATTCGATAATAACTAGAGATGAGGTTTCACCATGTTGTCCAGGCTGGTCTCGAACTCCTGACCTTAGGTGATCTGCTTTCCTCAGCCTCCCAAAGTGCTGGGATTACAGGCTTGAGCCACTGGCCTAAGTCTTGTGCCTGGCCTAAGTCCCTAAGATTCTAATGCAACATACAGAGAAAGCAAGGGAAATGACTGAAGTTCAGTAAACGGCGCTGGGACATTTGGTTTTCCATATGAAAAATATGCAAAAATAAAAATATATATATACTCTCTAGGTTTGTGCAAGCACACATTATTAATAACTAATAAAAAACTCCTGGGCTCAAGCGATCCTCCCACTTTGGCCTCTCAAAGCGTTGGGATTCCAGCTGCCCAGCCTTCATTGGGCCCGTCTTTTTCTGTTGCCTTTGCTGGCGATTTCTCGTGTGTGCCTTTCCCGCTGCATGAAATTGCTCTGCCCTAAGTCCTTTTGAAAGCCTCCCGCCGAATTTGTATAGTATGATGGTTTTCTCAGTCCCAATAAGCAGGAGGTACAAGGCGCTCATTTTTCTACAGAAGATTCTCAGAAGGTGCCTGCCAAGAAGTTATCGCGTCCTTCTCTTCCCTATCATCACACAGCAGGAAGTACTCAGGTACTTGTTCTGCCGTGCCGGTGATTATTCAGTGTTGCTGGGATCCGAAATGCACGTCAGACAGTCACGATCACCGAGGCCGGACACAGAACACGCATAAACGTGGTCATATCCGGAGAACAAGAGACAGCTGGGAATAAGGCAGAGAGAAGGAGGAGCACACGGAGGACCTCACAGCCCGGCACGGCGCAGACCAAGAAGGCTGACGGCCTGAGCCTGGAGCCCGAGTCTGTCACTTATAAACTAGGTGCCTATGAACAAGCTAATAAACTTCTCATCTGTAAAACCGGATTACCAAAGGGTTCGCACACAGCAAAGAACCAGTGCAGAGATTGGCAACTCCGGGCACTTGATAGTGGGACTCTTTTTTATTTTTTGAGAAGGAGTATTGATCTGTTGCCTAGGCTGGAGTGCAGTGGTGTAATCCCAGCTCACTGCAACCTCTGCCTCTCAGATTCAAGCAGTTCTCCTGCCCTGGCCTCCCAAGTAGCTGGGATTACAGGTGTCCGCCACCATGCCCGGCTAATTTTTGTATTTTTAGTAGAGATGCGGTTTCACAATGCTGGCCAGGCTGGTCTTGAACTCCCAACATTAGGTGATCCGCTCGCCTAGGCCTCCCAAAGTGCTGGAATTACAGGTTTGAGCCACTGTGCCTGGCCTAAGTCCCATGACATTCTAATGGAACATACAGAGAAAGCTGACGTACGGTCCTTTATAAAGGCACTGTGGATGCAGCAGGGGAAATGACTGTTCAGTAATGGTGCTGGGGCATTTGGTTTTCCATATGAAAAACATGCATAAATAAAAATACATCTATCTAGGTTTGTGCAAGTACACACTGTGACGTTTGCCCAACAACGCATTCACCTAATGACGCATTTCTCAGAACGCAGCCTCACTGTTAGGTGACACGTGACTGTATTTTAGTTGGACGTGGGTTTTTACTGGGAGCTAAACAGCTTCCACTGAGAGTTCTGCCATCTACCTGGGAGGCTGTTTAATCAGGAAGTCCCCAAGATCTCTTCTGTAAACCTGAGATGACATTTCCTGTCTTGGGCAGATGAGCTAGATGGAGCCTAGGGGAGGCTGGCTGATGATGCTTCTCCCAGCTGGTGGAGCACCTGTAACCTGGTCCCACGGAAGTCTCTGTTCCAGTGGCCCTGCTGTGAGAGCCACATCTCAAAGCCTGCAAACGCAGGGTTCCCATTGGCCTCCGACTGCAGGAAATGCCGAGTGTGGAAAAAAGACTAACTGTCCTCAGCCCGGTTCTTTGATCAGAAACTCCTTGTTGGGTTCCTGGAAAGCCTGGTTTCAGAGACTCTGACCCTGGGATGGGCGACAGGCACGTCCGTTTCTCAGTGTCTCTGAAGATGCACGCCTCCTGCTCAGGTTGCCCTACCGCTGGCCGCGTGGTATGTTACACCTGTGCTTAGTCCTAGCCTTTCATACGCTACCTAGTTTCGTGATTGCAAAACTTCTGCAGATGCGTTTGACTACTCAAAGAAAAAAAAATCTCAGGGATCCTTCATTGTGGATATTGACAGAACTGAGGCCAGCCCCACCTGCCTGCAGGGAGGAAGTGAGACTCCAGAGAGGTCAGGATAAGCCAGGGGACTCCCTGCAAAACCTGGGCTCCAGAGTCCAACAGATCCTGACTCTGTCATGTACTTGCAGGGTGAACAGCTTGGGTCGGGTGTGGTTGCTCGCTTGAGCACAAGAATTCAAGACAAGCAGTACAATATAGCAAGACCCCATCTCTACCAAAAACAAAAAAATCAAAACATTAGCTGGGTGTGTTAGCATGTGCCTACAGTCCCAGCTACTCGGGAGGCTGAGGCAGGAGGATCACTTGAGTCTGGGAGGTGCAGGCTGCAGTGAGCCATGACTGTGCCATTGCACCCCAGGCGACACAGTGAAAGGATCTGTATTTGAAAAACAAATACCTAAACCCAGGCTTGACTTCTCCAAGCCTCAGTTTCTTTATCTATGAAATGGGGACCATGTTTATATGTTACAGCACTTTGGTGAGGATTAAATAAAGTATTGGGTACTTAGAGCTTAGTACAGTGCTGGGCACAGGGTGAAGTGCTCTGTAAGTGGTGGTTAGTACTGTTACTGCCCTTATTACTACAGTTACTGCATCCCTGCTAGGGGGGGTTGAATCTGGCTAAACCGGATCTGAAGAGAGTCTCTGGTTCTGTATCTCCAGGGGCTCTGTTCGTGAAGGTTTCCTGATAGATCTTATCCTGTCACCTCCTAGTGTTCCCACTTTTCTGCGACAGGGCCAGAGAGAAAGAGCACATGTGCTCTGGAGTGGTTCCCGCTGTCGAGGGCACGTCCAAGGCTGTGGAAAGAGAACCTGGGAACTGGTCACCTTCCTGAAAAATTCTGGCACTTGTCTGGCCAGGTGTGGTGGCTCACGCCTGGAATCCCAGCACTTTGGGAGGCCAAGGCAGGAGGATTGCTTGAGCCTAGGAGTTCAAGACGAACCGGGGCAATATAGAAAGACCCTGTGTCTACAAAAATTTAAAAATCAGCTGGGTGTGGTGGTGCACACCTGTAGTCCCAGCTAATTCGGAGGATAAAATGGGAGGAGGACTTGAGCCCTGCAGGTCAAGGCTGCAGTAA